ATTTAATTTCGAAAAATTTTGCAAAAATCATGAAAATTAAATTTCAACTTCCAGTAATTATTTTCAACATTTATAAACCTGGAAATAAAATTTCCAAAATTTATAAATCATTATTTCCAAAATATATTAGTTAAATCTCAATAAGTTATAAAAAGCCATTTAAATTTTTTTCGAAAACATTAAATTATAAAAATTTAATATTTTGAAAAACATTATTTTTATTACTGAGAAATAACTTTCCAAAATATATATTTCGAAAAATCAATATATATATATATATATATATATACATATATATATATATATATATATATATATATATTACGGGTAGAAATAAAATAAATAAATTTAAAATTCATTTTCAATGATTTATTTAAGTCCAATACTTTTTCCAAGACTAAATAAAATCATTTTACCAATTTTTGAATTTTAATAATTACCAAATTAAAACTTTGACTTTTAAAATTTTAAAAGTCAAACGTAAAACTATAGTTTTGTACGTTGGCCCCGATACCAATGAAAGGTGACCATGCAAGGATAGGCAGCGGAATACAACATTTTAACATCCTAACATGATTATCTTGCCCAGAATCACGTACTAAAACTTATAGTGAGTAAGAAATTTATACCTTTCTCCGTAAGCGGTAAAAACGAAGAAGTCGTAGGAAGAGCGTTGAAAGTGCAAACGTAACCCTTCAAGCGTTCGGTCTCCAACTTTGACACACGAACAACGCCAGAGTCTACCACGATCTTTATGCTAGTAAAGATTATAGTAGTATAAAATATAAAGATTAAAATTTGGGATAATAATAATCTTGTATATTTCTATAGAAAATATTTCTAATAATATTTAGAAAATATTATAGATATTTTCTATACACAAATGATATTAATGGAACCAAATATAAAATTTCTCTCACTAGAAATTTATGGCCGAAAACCACCCCAAATATGATAATTTACACTCTCCCTTTGTAATTGTCATGTTTTCAACAAATGATTTGTCAATTTTGTCATTAAGCTAAAAGATAAAGTAATGAACAATTAATCAAGGATTATGGACAAAGTGAGATCCCAATAATTAGCCGTATGTTTTGATTTGAGAAAGTGAGAAGGATTTTCAAAATTCTTCTCCACTTAAATGTTCAAAGTGTATTTTATTTGACACCAAAAATTAATATAAAATTACTTTTAAATCAAATAAAATACCAATATCATTTTTAAACAAGTATAAAATATACTTCAAATAGTTTATGTCAAAATAATTATTTTCATAATTAAAATGACAAACCAAAATAAAATATTCAATATAATATATATATATATATTAATCGGCATATATATAATATATATAACCGAATATATATATATATATATATATATATATATATATATATATATATATATAAATCGGCATATATATAATATATATAACCGAATATATATATATATACATATATATATATATATATATATATTTATAAAAGTAAATTTTATTGAAATGAAAAAGTAATACAAGAGAGGGGGTGGCCAACCCCTACAAACTGGCCAGACAAAATACCAACTAAATATCAAAACCAAAAATACCATTTATATATATATATATATATATATATATATATATATATTTTAAGGAAAAGTTTTATTAAATAAAGAGAGATGAGAACACGTCTGAGGAGGACTACACCGAAGCCTCAGAAGTAAATACAAATAAACATTAGGGGACAGAAAGTTGAGAAATAAGGTCTAAGGCCAGTTTTCCGGATAGGCATGAGCTAATGGTCGCCTGAGACGAAGCCTGTCTTCAACCTCTTGCCGTTCAACCAAAACCGATTCGTAAATGGCAGGTTTGAGTCTGCGTCTTTGAGCATCCACTTTTTCTTTCTGTGAGTCCAAATCCACCCTTGTTTATATATATATATATATATATATATATATATATATATATGTATATATATATATATATATATATATATATATATGGGATTGACTCCTGTCAGATGACAAGTTTCGGTCAGATGACACTTTAGCACCACCTTGTTTGAGAATGAGCACCACCTTATTTCAGAATGAACATTAAACTGAGCAGAGTGTGAATGAGTACTAGGTTGTTTCAGAATGAGTACTACGTTTATAATGAACAAATGTGTGAAAATCAACCCTACAATGTCTAAGAATGAACACTACGTGGATTCCAAATAAACCCTATGTTGTCGTCTCGCTGGCATGGAATGAACACTACATTGTGATGAACAGTTCTGTGAGAATGAATCCTACGTTGTTTAAGAATGAGCGCTACATTGATTCAGAATGAGCCATACGTTGTCATCTGACCGAAAGTGTCATCTCACTGAAACATCTCATCTGACTGGAGTCAATCCCTATATATATATATATATATATATATACATATGCATATACATATATATATATATATATATATAATATTATATTCCAAAATATTTTACTTTACTATTTTTACAAATATACAAATTACTTATTATCCCATTGTTTAATCCTACTCCTTAAATTGTCCAAAGTGTGTGACCCGTATAGGCACTTATAAAGTTGGCCACAGTATTGGCTCTGCACCAATACTATAAACAATAAGAGGTATCTAGCAACATATTATTGCCCCCAGATTATAAGTTAAGATGTTTGCACCGTCAAAACCTTTCCACGACTCAGACTCCGTGTAACTGTATCCCTTTGTCTCAATGTCTAAACTTAATCCAAGGGATTAATATTTCCAACTTGTATCCATTAAGTCATTCACCGATTTATCAAGTCTGACTAATAGGAATAGACGTCATAAAAACATATCAACATGGCCATGCAATTTCCTTAGTCATAACTTATCAATGGGCCCCATAAGACATTAATCTCTTTAAAAAGAGTAGTGACAAATCCTATGTACGTAATCTACATTTCTGAATACGCGCTGCAGCATACCCAAAACAAAGCCTGTATACCATCAAAGCATGCGGGTTCACATATGCAGAAAACGTAATACTTCAAGTCGAAGGATAGTTACACCTGTGGTCGCGCTAAAGATGCTTAGAGCATGAACTAAAAGTTCAAGCAACATCTTTAGGATGGGTCAGTCCGGCATCCTATTATCTCCAGATAATATCTGCCCATGTGCGGATGCAAACACACTGTCATTGACTATGAGACTAAGTCAAACATCCAACACACACTAGTCTCACATGCATTAATGATATCCCACTCTCATTAATACTCGACTATGGACATTTAGATAAATATTTATTTCAAGATGTTAGTCTCATCAGCAGAATAACACTATCTGATAAACATCTTTAAATATAAATCTAGGAATATAATATTTGTTTACATTAGCATGAGATGTATAAACATATTATAAATACCTATATATGATAGAAGAATAACGATAAACAATTGGCCATCAGGGCACAACTCCAACAAAGAGATGATTATATAATGATGTGGCCTTAGATTAAGGATAATTTAAAAGTGTTGTTGATATATTAAATATCAAATGACTTGGAATAAAATATTAAGAATATCTTGAATGTTTGAATCATATATTGCGTGCATGAAATCAAATGGTTAATTATGAATTGAGATCCAATTTATGTGGATGTTCGACGCTTTAGATATGCTTACTCAGCTTCACCGCTGAGCGTCTAGTGTGTTTTATTTGCTACATGCAGGTTAATAGACATAATGATGTGATGCGATTCTAGAGGCAAACGGAGGCGAGATTGTCGGAATGGATGTGATGGTTTTGAATTAAAAAACATAAATAAATTATGTTTGTAATTATGATTGTTAAGCTTCCGCAATATTGAAAACTCCGTACTGTTTATGATATAAAAATATCATTGTGATAAATAAAAGCGGTTGAAATGTTTTAAATTTTACGATTACCAAGTTAATACTTTAGTCCGAAAGAGGCT